TTGCCTCAGCACATATATGCAATATGTTAGACTCCTGTTCTCAGGAGAGACTGGCTTGGTCAAAGTGCCATCATCCATCAAGTACATCTTTAATTTTTGAAATTATATTTGTGTGGTGTGTACGAGAGGGAGGCAGGGAGAGAGGGAGGGAGACTGTGCACATGCCACCACACATGGGACTGAGAAAGTCGGCTAAGTGTTTGTTATGGAAGGGACTGGAGATTCTAGCTAAGGAGTGTGAGAGCATGTGTGCATGTAGTTAACACCATCCAAAGTTTGAGTCTATGAGAATCTAATGAGAGTCATGACTTTGGCCAACATGAGTGCTGAGGGCCCAAGCTGAGGGCCACCGAGTGTCATTAGACTAGACTGCCCCACAGATTGCAAGCAGGTTAAGAGGGGAGTGTCCCTGCTGTTAAGAGGCCTGTTGACAGATCTGGGCTCACAATAAATTAAAAGATCTGGTTGTGACTTGAGATTGTCATTAGGAAAGACGCAAAGAACATTCTAGGTAGACTGAAGAATTGAGGGTGAAAAATTAATTCATAAAATGGAAGAAAACCTGAACTGACATTTACCAAATTTCCCAAAGGCAAAGAACTAAATTTAAAGAAAATTAAATACATTAAGGGAAAAATATCCAATTAGGTGAATTTGTTTCGTGGAAAATTTAAATCTACCGATTTTAAAATAACTTAAATGGGAAACAGTTTTACCAAGTGTTGACAAACCTCTAGAGCTACCAGAAAGCAAATTAAAGTGACTCCCGGAGGACCGACCACTCAACAATGAACAGAAGCTGACAGTTCACAAAGAGGAAAAACGGCTGACAGAACACTTTAAAAACTATTAATATATTTATTTAATGGGCATTTGTGGGCGGGGGGGGGGGGGTGCACATGTCACGACTCCTGGCAGGCATGGTACAACATTTTGTCCCACTGTATGGATTCCAAGAATTGAACTCAGGCCACCAGACTAGGCAGCGAATACATTTACTTGTTAAGTCACCTCATTGGCCCAAACTACTACTTTATGTTAGATATTACTGGTAACCTAAAACTTGCCGATTTAAATAACGCAGCAGAGTTTTTCCCCATGGGATTCAGCACAGAGCAAGCACTGTAACCTTTGCGACATTTGGCTGCATAGCTGTTAGTTGATCTCAACCCCTAAATACACTCTGCAACATTCTTGGAAATTACATAACCGAAACATTAAGAAACTAGGGAGAAAAAGAAAAACTAGAGTGGTGATCAGGCTTGACCTGCCCCTCTGACCCTGTCAGTTATGGTGACCTCCTTCCAGGAATCCCCTTCAAAACTCTCCAAGTCTTCTTGGTTCCCACTCCCATCTTCTAGAAAGGACAGGCGATGCAGTCTTGGCCAATGACTCATCCTGCCCACAGACACAGGACTTGGGCTCAGTCATCGAAGGCCCACAGTGCTGCCTATTCAGGAGTGACCAGGACCCCAACTATGAAGCACTCATCTGTTTGTCAGAATTGCCGGCTGCAATGAAAACTAGCAGAGGAAAGCGGCCCTGTGAAGATGGTGCTCTGATGGACTATTATTTTAGGAACAGCAAACTCCTCCACTTGGTTTAAATGACCTTGATTTGAATCCCAGCAATAGCAAGACTCCATCACAGGTGCTTATTTTGTAACCTGGGGATGCTGCCATGATAAAAGATTCTACAGCTATTGCGTTGCCCTTGAAGACTATGGCTTCTCTTCAGGTCATAGAGATCTTTTGCCTTTTACTAAGTTTTCCTTGTAAGCAATTTCTAAGAACATAACAAACACAAGAAAAAGTGGAAGCATTGGGATACCTGGTCGGTGCTCAGCATGATCCTTCAACAATTCATTAAAGATGAGAAAGAACCACAAAATACTCACAACTAGGCTAACTATTGTTGTGGAATATTATTTTAAGATGTGTTACATTCATTTATGCTGTGGAACATTTCTTTAATGATGCATATGTGTTGCATTTGTTTAACTCTGTGAAGCTGTGTTATTTTACCTATCTAAAACACCTGATTGGTCTAATGAGCTGAACGCTAGGCAGGAGAGAATAAATAGAAGGAGAAATCTCGGCTACAGGAGCAAGAAAAGGAGAGGAGGGTGCCAGGGGCCAGCACACAGCCAGACACAGAATAAGAAGGAAAGAAAAGTTATAAAAAATAGAGAAACATAAAAGTCCAGAAGCAGCCAGTCAGTGGTGGCTCATACCTTTAATCTCAGCACTTGGGAGGCAGAGGCAGGAGAATCTCTGTGAGTTCGAGGCCAGCCTGGTCTACAAAGTGGGCTTCAGGACAGCTAGAACTGTTACACAGAGAAACCCTGTCTTGAAAAAACAAAAAACCCCAGAGGCAAAAGGTAGATGGGGATAATTTAAGTAAGGCTAGGCATTCGCAAGAAATTATTTGGGAGCCGGGTGGTGGGGCCCTCAAGGTACAAAGAGTAAAAAACCAACCAACTACAAACTATGGGGTCTGTAGGTCCTGAACTTTCCTCACAGCCCTCCCCACCTCCCTCCCTCCCTCCTCCCTCCTCCCTCCCTCCCCCCTCCCCACCTCCCTCCCTCCCCACCTCCCTCCCTCCCTCCCCACCTCCCTCCTTCCCTCCCTCCCCCTCCCCCTCCCCCTCCCCCTCCCTCCCTTCCCCCTCCCCACCTCCCTCCCTCCCTCCCCACCTCCCTCCCTCCCTCCCTCCTCCCTCCTCCCTCCCTCCCCCCTCCCCACCTCCCTCCCTCCCCACCTCCCTCCTCCCTCCCTCCCCCTCCCCACCTCCCTCCCTCCCCACCTCCCTCCCTCCCTCCCCACCTCCCTCCTTCCCTCCCTCCCCCTCCCCTCCCTCCCTCCCCCTCCCCACCTCCCTCCCTCCCCACCTCCCTCCCTCCCCACCTCCCTCCCTCCCTCCCCACCTCCCTCCTTCCCTCCCTCCCCCTCCCCTCCCTCCCTCCCCCTCCCCACCTCCCTCCCTCCCCACCTCCCTCCCTCCCTCCCCACCTCCCTCCTTCCCTCCCTCCCCCTCCCCCTCCCCCTCCCTCCCTTCCCCCTCCCCACCTCCCTCCCTCCCTCCCCACCTCCCTCCCTCCCTCCCTCCTCCCTCCTCCCTCCCTCCCCCCCTCCCCACCTCCCTCCCTCCCCACCTCCCTCCTCCCTCCCTCCCCCCTCCCCACCTCCCTCCCTCCCCACCTCCCTCCCTCCCCACCTCCCTCCCTCCCTCCCCACCTCCCTCCTTCCCTCCCTCCCCCCTCCCCTCCCTCCCTTCCCCCTCCCCACCTCCCTCCCTCCCTCCCCACCTCCCTCCCTCCCTCCCTCCCTCCCTCCCTCCCTCCCTCCCTCCCTCCCTCCCTCCTCCCTCCCCACCTCCCTCCTCACCTCTCATATGTTCATCCTACAAGACAAAGGAAAGAACTAAGAAAGCGATTGCTCTAGACTCTCTTCTAAATTCACTATTTGTCTTCTCAGATGAAAACACAGAACATCTGTTTTGAAGAGTTTGAAAAACACCACAAAATACTGGCCAATAAACTCCCCGAGTGTCATTTTCTCAGCACTAAAACAGCTACAGAATGCGCCATTACAGGAAAGTGGCCCTCCATTACCTTGCCAGACACACGAGCTGGCAATCTCATCAGAACATTCCTGTTGCACTGAACCGTGCTGCCTCGGTTCATGAAGGATCCACACACCTCCCGTAACCCCAAGGGCTTTGAACCTGGACTAAAAGACAGATTCGTCTGATTGTTGGTTCCATTCGTACCTCATCCTAGCTAAGATTGGGGCTCAGTCTCTGTCTGCAGCAGGTGTGTGAGGCCCCCGGACTGAGCAAAGCCTGTGTGTGAAGGATTCGACAGAGCCAGGAAGCTACCAGCAGCAGCATGAGGCCAGGCCTTCAACTCACCTCTTTCCCTTGCTGAATTGCCAGTACTACACGATGTCACCATCATGGCCACACCCTGACATTTGGCTAACTCAGTTGTGTGAGAAACTGGCACTGTGCTGGGCATAGAGGCATGTGTTTGTCATCTCAGTACTTAGGTTAGGAATCTGAGGCAAAAGGATCACAGGTTCGAAGACACCTTGAACTACAGTCTAGAAACACTAAGAAATAGAGAAAACGAAACAAACAAAACCCCTACCAGCCGGGCGTTGGTGGCGCACGCCTTTAATCCCAGCACTCGGGAGGCAGAGGCAGGCGGATCTCTGTGAGTTCGAGGCCGGGCTGGACCGATAGCCTCCGAAACAATACAGAGAAACCCTGTCTCAAAGAAACAAAAACAAAACAAAACAAAAAAACCCCTACCAGCCCCCCAAAACACAACCTGGATCTGCTTTAACAGTAGTCTGTGGTGCCCCCTTGTGGACACTCAGAATGCTTCGGTGACATTCTACAAGTTCAATTATAAAAGAACATGCGGAGCCTGGAGCCTGCTGTGGAGAACTGACTTAGCCCTGTAGGATAATTGGCTCTGACCTGAATATGGATAGTTTTTCCATGGTGCCAAATGATGGAGACAGAACTCACAGTAAGCGGTCAGAGAGAGAAAACTAGGGAAATGCCCTCAACCCAGTTCAACAGAACATGCTGGAACCCAAGGACCTGTGACAATGCCTAGATTCAGACAGTCCCCAAATTCTAGGAAATGATGAGCTCTCTGCCCGTGGAGAAGAGCAGTGTGATTCTCTCTGGGTTCTGGAACAAGTGGCTGATTTAAGAGTGTGGCTACAGAAGGTGGTGGCACAAGCCTTTAATCGCAGCACTCGGGAGGCAGAGATAGGTGGATCTCTGTGAGTTCAAGGCCAATCTGGTCTATAGAGTGAGGTCCAGGACTGACTCCAAAGCTACAGAGAAACCCTGTCTCCAAAATAAATAAATAAATAAACAAACAAATAAATAAAATAAAGTCTGGCTAAACAAGAATGTTGCTTAAGCAGTGCACATGAAGTTTTGTAACAAACATCTGTTTCTGAAAGCAGTTCGATACACCTTATGAAAACAACCTTTTTAATTGTTAATGGTTTGAATGACAAAATCCTGGCTGTTTAACAATTTTTCTTGAGAAGTCGTTTGCTGGATTTTTAAAGTTTTTTCCCAACATGATGGCTTCTATGTAACTTCTTGCTTCTGAAAGGGACAGCGACTTGAAACCCCACACCTTATTAAAAGGAATCTTATGTCATCCAAGATCACAATTATAGGTGATGGAGCTAACTAGCACCTCCTTTAAAGAACCGGTTTTAGATGTATGATTTTTAATTGTGTGTGCGTGAGGGTCTATCTGTGGTACAAACCTGTGAGGGCAGGTGCCCTCAGAGGCTGGGGCTTTGCTTCCCTAGAGCTGCAGTTGTGGGCAGCTGTCTGCCTGAATCTGGCGCTGGTTCCTTGACTGGGGCAGTCTATGGTCTTAGATGCTGAGCCAGCCCTCTAGCCCAGAAATATTGTTTGTGCCATGTCACCATGATATCTCCCACAGATGAATGGCTCAGGTGGCAGCACCAGGAGCTTCAGGATACAGAACATCTGAAGAAGGCTTGGGCTATGGTTAGTGCCTGAGTTAATTCTTATAAGTCTTTTTTTTTTTGTAAAAAAGAATCCCACATAGACAAAATTCCTTTCCTTTCTTTCTGCAATCCTCTTTTCATGCAAATAAGAAAATTGTTTTGGGTTTTTGTCATTTGTTTCACTCCGGGGATGAGACCCAGGGCCTCATGCATGCTGGGCAAACACTCTATGAGGCAAGCTGCACCCCACCCCCGGGCCATGTGTGTATGTGATAAAGAGTGAATATCTGGTGGGAAATGAAAGCAGGAAATATTTTTACTTCTTTGGTTGTGGATAACTATGACTTTCAAATGTAAGACATTTAGAGAGTCTTACAGAATATGTTTTTGTCCTGTACTGAATCAGCCATACAAGTAGCTCATCCCTTCCATGTCTGAAGGGTTCACACAGGCACTCTGCATCAGGGCACACCCTCTGCACAGGCCCCTCTTCACAGGCTCCAGAGACAGCTGGGTGAGGGGGGCACCCTCCAGGCACAGTGGCTGTCAGGAATAAACCCCTGAACCTCTGTACCTGCAGTGTCAACGGACAATCTACACCTGGTCTATGCTGCCCATCTATGGGCACCCTTGAGGAAAAACTGCTGGGAACAGATGAAAGAAAACATCCTTGATTATAACGAATGGCATTTCCCTATGAAAATGGCTTCAAAATACATGTTTTAAATCCAGCAACCACATCTCCCAAGAGATCCAGTCTAAGGCCAAAAACATTCTATAGACAGGCAAGCAGACAAAATCAACCAGTGGGCAGCAGAGTCGGCGGACAGGCAGAGAAGTTGCAGACAACGCCAAGCCCTTTAAGCATGCACGAGCCATCTAAGACTCTTCTTCGCTGGTGTGGTGGGTTCACCATGTTCTGGTTCACCTGGAAAGGGAAAGAGGGACAAACAATGATCTCATTAGCCGGACTGGCCAGTCTTAAAAGTTCATTCATTCCCAGAAAAGACTAGAGAAATCCCAGAGCTAAAAGTTTAATATTTTAAGTTAATTTCAGGGACCCCGAAGTCCTGGCTTTAGTAGGTGCAGACAGGGACCAGGAGTAATCTTTTAGCAAGTTCTTCTGCTCTCCATGTGTGATTTTGACATCTCAGTAGATTTCACAGGGGAAATGCTAACAGACCCGTTGTTCTCAGGACCTTGCTTAAAAAGAATTTCTGAATGTTTAAAATGAAAAATAAACAGGGTGGAGATGTAGCTCAGTTGAGAGGGTGTTTGTCTAGTATTCACACAAATGAGTTTGATAAAATTAGCAAGGTGGCTCACACCTGTAATCCCAGCACTCTGGAGGTGGAGGCAGGTGGATCAGGAGAAGTTCAAGGTTATCCTTTGCTACATAGAGAGTTCTAGACCAGACTCTCAGAAAGGAGGGAGGGAGCAGAAACCTTTACAAAACAGAGGGTCCTTAGAACAAGAGAGAAGTAACTGCCAATACCTAACGATTCTGGGCCTAGCTGGGAGGTGACCTGTCTTCCTGTCCCAGCTGGAATGAACATCCAACTAGAAAATCCCTAACTCTGTCTTGGTTGGAGAGTTGGAGACATCAGACTGAGCCAGTGATAAAGTGAAGCCTGGACCAGCCCTTTCGGAGAACTGGCTGCCTCCAGGATGTCAGTAAACACATCATGAGGTCCTTCAAACCTTCACTCGACATGCAAATTAGCAGACTGGCTTGGTCCAGCGACCCAGTGACACAAACCATGAGTCAGCTGTGACTTCCAGATCCCAGTGTGGACAATTTCTCAGGACATCATTCCAGTGTCACAGCCATCAGCTGCATGCAGAAGGTTCTGTGCTATTTAGATGAACGTCTTCCAAGGCATATCTGGGCAAGCCCCTCAAGGTGGCCCAAACATAGAGAAACTGCAGAATGCCACGAGGATGCCATTAGTAGCTCCTGAGTATGTGTAGACTGCAGTCCTCACAGATATAACGGTACACTCCCTGGACCGTGACACGGTTCTGGCAGCAAATAGCAGTACGGAGCTAAGACGAAATCTCACTCACAGACTGAAGTAGCAATCAGTGGCCAGAGGTATCTGGGGACAGGGTAGTTTTTAGGCGCTTTCCTTCCTTTCCTAGATGCCTGGTCCTGGTCTCCCATCTTCCCCTCAGGACCAGACCAAAGGTTCTGTCTTATCTTTGAATTGAAGAAAAGCACTTACCCGTCTACATAACAGCGTGGGAGCCTCTATTTTACTCACTCAGAGCAGGGACTTATGGGAAAACATAATTTTATTTTGTTATTAAAGTAAGCACTGCCCAGGGCATGTTATTTACACAGAGATAACTGCACTTCGGAGATTGTGATGTCCTGGGAAGGTAAACTCTAACCTCAAAGAGCAGCCCATCATTCTTGCTGTCACTCTTCTTGATAATGTGGTACCGGGTAATAATCTTGCAATTGCTACCTCCACAGTCCTATAACAGGGGATGCTTGGCCAGTCCAGAGGAGGGTCAGAGGCCCTATGCCTTTTCTCCGGCACAGATTGCAGCAATATCAATGCTGGATTCTTTGCTCAGACGATTTGAAAGTCTTTGTTTCAATCAGCTGCTGCTTCCCCAATACCTGCTGCAGGCTGGGCCATGCACTACTCCCAGCTCTGCTCAGAATAGAGGAACAAGAAAACAATATAACCCTGAGCTTTGCTGTTAAAATTTATAACCTCAGGGGTGGGGGGCTACATAGTTTAGCACAGCTGTTCTCTAATAGAATAAGACAGAGAATACATAAACACTAAGAATTTAAGCTCCAAAACTGGGCATGGTCTGGTCTCCCAAGAAATTCCTTTTGCCTAGGTCGGGCATTTAGACAAAAGCCACCATTCTCTCAGGGACTTGAAGGAAGTTCCTACTTGCTAAAAAGGGAGTCAAGAGGAACCTGTGGCTCTTCCACTAACATAGGACTGTGGTGTCTATGAACGTGACAAGGTCAATACTAGCCTGTAAGCTTCCTTAGTCCTGATTCACAAACCCCACCCTAGCTCACAAGCCCCTCTTCTCCTATTCTCATTTAACCTGAGAAATCTTTTCCCTGTTGTTCTCCTTGCTTTCTCCGGAGGCAGCCTTGGCAGTTTGGAATAAACTTTTCCCTTTTCACCCAATGAGCAGCTAGTCACCCATTTTCATTCAGGCATGGCATGTAAATCTATCTTAGTATCCTCACCCATCTCCCTACAGAGCTGTCAGTCATTACAATCAGGAAGTGAACTAAAAATGAACCTGGAATGGCAGCCCCAGCAACAGCACATGGTCACCAGTCAAGAGGGCTCCGGAGTTACGATGTTTGAATCTCAGGACTGCCACCTCTTGGCTAAAAGGCATTAAGCAAGCCTGACATTTCTCAACCAGGCACTCCATTCTACAGCCTAGGAATCCCTGCTTGCTTCACAGGGGTGTGGTGAGAAATTAAGCTAATCACATGAAGCGATTAACGTAGCGCCGACCAGTAAGTCATGTTCCACAGACTCTAGCTGCTATTGTTAGCATTGCCATCATCACCTCTCAGGCTTGCCGGTGTCAAATATAGCAACATTCCTATTGTCAGTTAGGAAACACTGTCCTGATCCTTGATCATTCCAGATCAGATCATCCCCTTCTTCTTGCCCCAGTCCATATGAGGAGCCTGCTTCTCCTCTACATTCAGAAAAGATGATAATGGGGACCAAACTTTGAGCTGCTAAGCTATATCTCCAGCCTTTGGGAATTTTATTATTTTTATTTTGCAATGCCGAGATTCGCACCCCAGGACCCAGCTGTTGAACTTACACCTCCAGCCCCCTTCTCCTTTCTCTCCAGTGGCTCCTTTGGTCTCAAGATCATCACCTCCAGAGGTTTCCCCACAGGCATCCCAGTGATGCTGACATGAAGGGTCATTGGCTCAGACTCAGATGTGGGACAGCACAGTCGCGCAGCAAGTGTGATTCTTAGAAACAGCCATCCCAAGTCATTCATACTGTCTGTCTATAGTCAGACAGGAACAGCCTTAAAACGGGGCCTCAACCTGGTAGCCTCGACCCAGGTGGTGTTCATGGGGGTTTGTACCTTGAATGAAACTTTTACCCATTTTCATTGAGCTCTAAGTGAAATTTGTTATTCCCTCAATGATGTTTGCAGATGGTAAATCATAGAGGTGACAGTGTATCTGTGACTGTCTCCAATGGCAACAGAGAATTCAATGATCCTTTCCAATTGTATCATTAGGGTTGTCACTAGTCTTCACTACTTGGAGAGTTATAGGCTCATTACTAGATCCCCCCTTATTTGTTTGTTTGTTTTGTTTGAAACCCAGGTTGGCTTCAACCTCACTATGTATTTGAGTTGTTTTTTATTTGTTTGCTTGTTTGGTTTTTTTGAAGACAAGATCTCAGGCTGTCCTAAAACTCACCGTGTAGACCACACTGGCCTTGAATATGTTTGGGTGGAAACTCCACCTCACCCACTCCTCTCTCTCTCCAAACCCTGCCCCCCTTCAGAAAGAGCCCAAGAGGTAGCTCCTCCCATGCCTACAGGGTATTTAAATTGCCTCCTAGGGACAGGCCATGGAATATTTTGGTCTCCCCATCTCCTCTCCAACTTTTAATTCTTAATTCGGCTTGATTTGGATTACTGTGTAGGCGGAGAAGCTTGATATTGGAGTATAGAAACCCTTCCGCTACTTCGGCCTCCCATGTGCTGGCATTAAACACATGAGCTACTATGCCTGTGTCTTTTATTATTTCGAAAGGGGATCCTATGTTATGCCAGGGTCTACATCATAGGAAACGGTAAGCCCCTTGCTTAGGAGGCCAGGAAGGGCTGCAGTGCTGGAAAGGTGAAAGATGTATAATTACTTACTGCAATGTGACATTAAAATATTCTTCAGGTGTCACTACTTTCGGTCCACCAAAGTAGTCCAAGACCCAGATATTGGTTATATTTAACTTAGCAAAGAACCAATTATGGCTGGAAGGCCAAGTTTTCATCTCAGGGTGTCGAAGGAATAAGGAATTCTTTGCATAGTCCGCTTCTTTCTCATTCACCTGAAGGATAAACAGGAGAGAAACAGTCTACCAATTTCATTTCTCCTGCCCTAAGAATGTGTGCCTCACACCACAAACCCCACCTGAGAACGTTTTCAGTTGCAAATCCTGATCTTAAGAGCATACAGGAAGCTCAAAGAAAACGGAGAGCAATGCTTTCAAACTTGTCACAACACATGGGTCAAAATAGAACCCACTATAAGGATGGAGCTGCTTGCTGCTTGACAGTAATGTCACCTGGGCCTGAGAACACCGTCTCACTCACTCCAGGATCCACACATGTTAAAAGTATGTGCGGGAAGGGTGGACATGTGTAGAAGTACCACAATGGAACCCAAGAGCATCTGTCACTCCCCAGATTGCTCCTGTCAGTCAAGGACACTGCCCACAGATAGAATGCCCAGACCTGAAGTCACAAAGGCCAGAAACAAAATTGCTGGCTCAGCAATAGCTTGGTGTATGTGACACCTGGCATTTTGTAGATCTTTTTCTGTTGCATTGTTTCGTTTGTTTTTAGAGATGGGGGGGGGTCTCACTATGAAGCCCTGGCTGTTCTGGAACTCACTATGTAAACCAGACTGACCTAGAACTCACAGAGATCCTGTCTCTGCATCCTGGATGCTGGGGATTAAAGGCATGGGCCCTGTCAATCTTCTTTAACCTCTTCACTCCAGCACGCATCCCAAACTGTCCAAACACACCTCTAGTTAGTAATAGACACTCCTCTTGTTGGTATCAAACATGGGTACATGGAGTCCAGGTGAAACTAGAGTCGATGTTTCTAGATGGGAAGATGTTTCTTAACAAGAGTGTTTTTATACAGGGGTGTGGGGACACCACACCTTGAACAGATACCCACTTCCCCATCAGCCTGGGAATAGGCAGCTGTAAGACAATGTTTACTAAAAACATGTTTACTAAAAACAATACAATGCCCGGGACAATAAGTTCCTGAAAAGGGCTGGCCCAAGAGGAACTGCCCTGTCCTCGATCTTTTCCAAAGACTAACCGCCTCCTCAGACCCACCCACATCCACATCTGGTGTCAGGGTATATAATAACGAGCCAGAATAGGAATAAAGACAGCCTTCTTGAGGAGCCTTCTGGTCTCTGTGTCGTCAATCCCGACACCCTCGCCACATTCTCAGATGCAGGCTGTGCAGCGGGCACGGCACAGAGGCCTTCCAGATGTGACATGTTTGGTTCCAGGACATAGATCCTTTGTCCCTTAAGAGCCCTACTGAACACCTACATGACGGATCCCGGTCAAAGACTTTAGTTCTTGGAATGTGTTAGAACATATTCTTACCATGAACCCACTAACAAATCCATTGCATGCTTTTCTCCAAGGACCCCTTCCTCATTTCCAATACCACGATGTTCTTCCAAGCCCATCTCTCTTCATGGAAGTCACTGCTTACCTTGGTCACAGTTCCCGACAGCATTATATGAACACACAAGGGACTCTGGGGATCAAATCCATGTTTCCTACAGAAGACAGTCTGTGCCAAAGACAGTGTCAGTGTAGCCTGTGGATTTTCCTGCAGAGTGAAATATAGAAATTCTTCCATGTGAAATGCGGTCTCTGGAGAGGTATAATACAAGCTGCAGACATACCATCCATCCCTCAATGTATTTCACTTTCATGAAACAGTGAATTGTAAGCCACTTCAAACTAGGGAAAAACAATCCATGGGTGGAAACAGGTCGTGATCCCCATGAAGTATGTGTGGAGAGGTGTCATGTTTTAAATTAGCAAACTATAGAGAATGGTTTAGCATATCTGTTCTTATCTGTTTCATAACTATCAGAATTATAATGTGTCCCCCAAACAGAGCTGGTGATAGTCCTCACTGAAATATCTACAAGGTCAAACTCTAATTTTAAAAAAAGTGCATGAAAACACCACAGTTGCTTGAACAGCCTAATTGCATAATTTAAACAAGAAAGTAGCTGAATCACGCTTCATGGTTATCTCGTGACTTCAGAAGTTGTCATGTGATCTTAAGAAGGGAGACTTGCTTATTTTTCTCCCAGCTTCTTCTACGAGGAGAGAATTCTTAACTCAAATTCCAAACACAAAGGTTTCTCTCCAAAACCCGGCATCATTCCAGATTACTGTAAATTCACAACAGCATTCACCTCGAGTGTTTTGGGGGTAAACTTTCCTATTCCACAATGGCCCATCAAAAACACTGAACTCCAGAGACTCTTAGGAAAGAGAAAGAAAAACAGGGCTCAAAAGTAAGCTCAGGTACTTCTCTTCCACAGGGCCTAAGTTTGGGTCCCAGCACCCACATCCAGTGTCTCAAAACCACTTGCAAGTAACTTCAGCTCCAAGGGATTCATGTCTGGCCTATAGGCACCCACACACAGATAGCCACACATACACATAATTAAAAGTAAAGTCAATCTTGTTGGACATGGAGATACATACCTTTAATCCTAGCTAAAATATTTGCTGTCTTCAAGCTGGAAGATAAGGAGAGGAACTCCCCCTACCTAACCCACCCACCCAAAAAAACAAAGGAGAGAGCTCAGGTAAGATTTCTCTTCTTCGAATTTCAGATCTGGTTGAAAAGTCAGACATAAGGTGTATTAAGGCCGAGGGAATGTTAACTGTGCAACACACAACAGGGAAAGTGTAAGATACCACAGCTATTACAGAGAAAGCCAAAGTAAAGGCAAGCCAAGGAAGGGGGGGGCATGGCTCAAACCCAAGCTCAGGCGTCTGGACTGCAAGCATCCTCAAGCAGTGTTTTCCAAAATCCCTACAGAGTTTGTTAAGTGATGGTTCCTGGTACCAGTCTATACTCAAGGTTTTATTTATTTTACTATTTGTGTGTGTGTCTATGTGTCTGTGTGCACTCATGTGTGTTCCCCAATATATGGGCAGACATAGGTGTGGGAGTCAGATGGCATTGGGTGTCTTCTTTGATCAGTCTCTATTTACTAAGACAGGGAGGGTTTTTTTCTCAACCTGGAACTTACTACCTTGTCCTAGGAACTCCCTGTCTCCACTTGCCAAGCAGTGAGACTATAGGCAGTCCAGTTGGTTTTCCATGTGGGTGCTAGGCATCTGAACTCTTGACACTCGTCAAGCTCTTTTCCTGATGAGTCATCTCCCCAGCTTCCACACCCAGGGTGACAAACACTTTGGGTGCTTTTTAAGCAGTCACAGGCAATATTTAGCCAAGCTCCCTATGAGATGGGCAATGCTGTATTTTGCTACTGTAAGTCTGTCTGGTGGGCAGGGTGGACCAAACAGACAGTTTCTAGCTGGAAGTAGTGAGGACTTAGCCTAAGCACAGGGTCATTTGAAGAGAAAGGAACAGAGATGGAAACAAAGGAAGTAGAAGAAAACCAGAGAGATTTGGAGAGGCACAGAGGATTCTAATGTGTTCATTGAGAAAACAACAATTCCACAAACCAGGACACCGACAGTCAAAGGCAGCGGGTTTCCAAGAAGAAAAGGGAAATGGGTTTTTGTGTGACAGATACTAACTAAATGAAGGCCATCAGAAACACAAGACTCGGGTGAGGTCCAACACGAGCCCAAATGTGGAAGCAGACCCTAAAGCAGAAGGAAAACCATGGCTGTGCACATACTATGTGAAGCACCGGAAGAACAGGGGTAAGAAGCTGACCTGTTCTTAATGGGCCAAAGGGGAAAAGAAATCAGGAACAACCTGGTCATATCACCAGAGGGAGGTGCCAAGAAGGAAGAAAAAATAAAAGGATCTTGTTTTGTTTGAGATAGGACATTAGATAGTCCGGTCTGGCCTTGAACTCGCCAGATAGCAGAGAATAACTCGGAATTGCTAACCCTTCTGCCCCTACCTCCCAAATACTGAGACTATAGGCCTGCACCACCAAGCCTGCTTTACGCAACACTGAGATACAGTTAAGAGTTTCCTGCATCCTAGGCAAGCATTCTCTATCGATTTTGACTCGCTGTCTCTTCAGCTCTGCTTGGTATTATGTTACCAACCAGCATCAACAAATTCTTCCTATAAACATTTATTATATAAAACATTACACACCGAAAAACTAGACAAGAGGAATGTCCCAGTGGGAAGTAGACTCAAACCCCACAACTTGTCTCTGAGGGAGATGTCTGGCATTTTACATGGGGGAAGTGGTCTCAAGCCTGAGTCTTGTTCTTCTAACCTACTGGGAGGGCATGAAGAGACTCTCTGGCTGGAAGCAAGAGGAGAAGCGGAGCAGAAACCAACTTTGGCCGGTTAATTGTCTGAGTCAGCATCCATCAGACCCTCTTGACAGGGTCACACCTTTTCAGTGCCATCACAGGAACCGGAAACCCTGGGTTGGCTGCTCACATCTGCCTCTTCTCTACACACGAGACATCTCACTGGAATCCTACCTGATGGCCATTAGCTAGTTGGACACAAATGAGTCCCATACCTCTAAATCTCAGTATCCTCATAACTTCAGTGAGGATGACACCACGGCTCCCTAGACACCTCACAAATATAGATAAGATCACATGTAATAGTGATGTCCAATCTGTCCCCTTCCTGTTAGAATCACCATTGAGGGCATGAAAGAGAAGAGGGCCTGTCGCAGAATAAAATGACTTGGCAGTGCATTTTAACGCTCATCTCAACTGACCTGTGGGCCACCACTGGAGTAGAGGGAGCATGTGAACGGCAGATGCCTGAAGGGGTGAAGTGGGCTGGGCAGAAGAAAATGGTGAACGGGGTGAATGTATCCAGGCTGGGGGAGGCCGTGAATGGAGTGAATGAATGTATCCAGGCTGGGGAGGCCATGAATGGGGTGAATGAATGTATCCAGGCTGGGGAGGCCGTGAACTGGGGTGAATGAATGTATCCAGGCTGGGGAGGCCGTGAACCGGGGTGAATGAATGTATCCAGGCTGGAGGAGGCTGTGGCTTCTATTCTTTTTGTTTCTCAGAAAATACAGTCCCACTCCCACTACCAGGGCTGCTAGATCTGATTTTTTCACAAAGAGGTAAACACTTAAAATTTTAGACAAAGTAATTTAAACAAATTAGACAAATCTCACTGACTCTGGACTGACAACTGGGGGGCCTGCATGGGACTAAACGAGGTCCCCTGAATGCAGGTGACAGTGGATGGCCTAGGCAGTTTGTGGGGCCACCGCCAGTGGATCCAAGATCTATCCATTCCCTAGTGCATGAACTGGCTTCTTGGGGACCATGCCTATGGAGAGATAGCTTGCCTTGGTCCTGCCTCAACAGTGATGATGGAGCAGACTCATTGACTCCCCATAGGAGGCCTTACCCTCTCTGAGGAGCAGACAGGGGTGGGGTGAAGTGGGGGGATCAGGAGAACTGGAGGGAGGAGGAGTTGGAATTGGTGTGTAAAATAAATAAATAAATCTTTTAAAAAATATTAGACAAAAATTCAAAACAAATTCTATTTGCTATATATCCCCCCCTCTGTGTGTGTGTGTGTGTGTGTGTGTGTGTGTGTGTGTATAGAGAGAGAGAATACAGGTGTACCACAGGTGCACATGGATTAATTAATTATGTTGTGGCCAGAGGTCAGCTTTGGGTGTTGTCAGAAGCTGGTGTCACTTCTCAGAAGCTGGAGTCATCCAACTTGTTTTTTGAGATTTGAGACACGGTCCCTCCCTGAGGCCTGAAGCTCAGCAACTCAGTTAGGCTGGCTGGACAGGGAGCCGTGTCAGCCAGTGAGGATCGCAAGTGTACGTCATTGCACCTCACAGACCAAACAGGCTCTCATGCTTTCATGGCACGTACTTTACCAACAGGCTATTTCCCCAGCCCACAACTGCAGTTTTAAAAGGCAGTAACTAATTTAAATGTGTTTAGAATAAAACAGAACTCTCTGTCGGCTGATGAAAGCTGGCCTCTGGGCTCATGGGTCCCAGTTTGGGGCCTTTGCTTTGAAGACAGGAGGATCGGAGGTGATCTAGGGTTGACCTCCCTGGCTTTGCATATTACTTAACCTATTGTCATCACCCATAAGGTGGGAATAGTCAAAGCTATTCCTAAAGAGCAATTCCAAAAGACAACAAATGGAAACGCGTGGAACTGAAAAGCTCTCGCTCAGCACATGACACCACAAGTGCTTGACAAAAGCGTCACTTTCTCTCTCGTCTCACTTTTACCAATACACCGTGCCTTCCCGGCTTTGCCACGAAAACCCTCCACCAAGTCAGCATCCTGCTCCCTGCTGAGGCCACTGTGCTTAAGTAGTCCAAAGAACGCTGTCAACCATAATGTTTCATATTATCTTCCCACTGCTGATAGGAAAGGTCTGGGGAGGTAGGAGAGAGAAACTCTGAAGTCTCCTAAGCCAATTGCTAAACTACCCAATATGTTTTGTAAAGCCTTTAAACAACAAGCACCCAGTTCATGCAGGTACTGGCAAAGAATTTCCCCCCAACATCTGGGATGCTACCGTCTCCTCCTAGCCAGCGCTGGCCAGAAAGGACACTCATCTGAACTGTGTTCAAACTTCTTATCTCTAAGACCCACGTTCTCCGTGGCGAACTAAACTTCAGAGGCTCGCTGCCTGGTCTGCCTGTGGTCGCCAGCCCCGTAGTGCCCAACCCAGGGAACCTCGAGGCGCTCCCGCTCACCCGCAAGTCGCTCACTAGCTGCTGCAAGGGGCTCAGGTACATGTAGGGCACGCCGCTGCCTGCGCCCGGGGGACCGTCACTAAATGAGATGACGTCCGCGAAGGACCTGCCGCGCACCGCCTCCAGCGTGGAGATAGTGGCCACCGCGCCCCAGTCCGAGACGTGCGTCACGAAGCGGGCCACGCGCGGCGCGTCATCGCGGGGTGGCAGCGGAGGTAGTCGCCTTTCCACGTCCCAGTCCCCGTGGTCCAGGCCCCCGCGACCCCGGGCCGGCGACACCAGTAGTGACACCAGCGCCGGAGCCAGAAGGGCAGCGAGCAGGGAGCGCGCAGGCCCAAGAGCCCTGCTAGCCATGGCGGCGTCTGCAGAGTCCCTGCCCTGCAATCTAACCCCGCCGGGTTAAACTAGAACCCGCCAGAGTCCCGCCCCTCCGAGGGGACCAATCAGAAATGACCATGCAGGTGGGGCGTGGCCCCTGTGCAGCCGGATCTACAGACGCGAACGCTTAGTTCTGAGCTCGGGTCTTCAAAGACTGCGAATTTGCACTAAAGAGATACTCTCCTTCCCCCTTACACAGAAGGATAAGCGAGGTTTAGAAAAAAATTAAGCAACTTGCCTGAATCACGCTGCTAGGCTGCTAGGAAAAGGCTGATTTCTTCACGCACGCACCAGCTTTTCTAAGGTCTTTCAGTGTGTGCGCCTGGCATCTGAGAGAAAGTGAGTTTTCTATGTCTGCTCTTGTTTGTTTACTCGCTGCGTTTGCTGTTGTTTCTTGGGTTTTCGAGACAGAGTTTCTGTGTAACCCTGTCTGTCCTGGAACTCGCTCTGTAAAACAGGCTGGCCTTGAACTCACGGAGATGCACTCATCTACGCCTCCCAAGTGCTGCAATTAGAGGCATGTGCCACCACTGCCTGGCCTGCTTACTCACTGTTAGCAAGCAAACTTCCTTGTAGTAAAAAGCAGAAGTACAGAACTGGAGGAACTTACAAACTACTGGCCCAGGAGTGCCCTCCAATAAAGCCACTAAGAGATTTTCAGTAACCCACTCAAAGCCAGCCTGCCAGTTTGAGACCTACTAAGTCATTTAGCTTTGTTAAATTCGTGGTTTCATGCATTCTTGTCTTGGCAGGTCCTCCAAGCCGTTCTGGTCTCCATTCCACTACCCTGGGGAGTTAGAAAACGTGTGCAAGCAACCTGACTCATATTCATCATTTTAAATTCTGTCCATGCCCGGCGGTGGTGGCACACACCTTTAATCCCAGCACTCTGAGATAGATCTCTGTGAGTTCGAGGCCGGCCTGGACTACAGAGTTCCAGGACAGTCTCCAAAGCTACAGAGAAATCCTTTCTCGAAAAACAAACAAACAAAAACAAACACAAATAAAACCCTTTGTCCATTGTTAGAACATAGCCCCATTCCATAAACTGAATCAGGCCGAGCCTCTCCACAGCTGTCTCTAGGACAGAACTACGAAGCAGTCTGTGCAGTGACTTGGCAGCTCTTCTTAGTTTATGATTCCTGGCTCCTTATCACGTAGCCCACGCTGAACTAAATCATGGGATGCAAAACTTGCAGTCACCTCTCGTTGAAGGTTATAAAAATTGAACTTTCCCTTTATTCAAGAGATTGATGTGAGACTCCTCAGGGACACTGCTGGAGGGATGTTCTGAGGTCTGCCTCTAGCTGGCTCTCTCCTCATTGCTCTCTCATTCACATTTTTTAAACATTCATTTATTATATATGTTCTGTCTGCATATATCCCTGCAGGCCAGAAGAGGGCACCAGATCTCATTACAGATGGCTGTGAGTCATCATTGGGTTGCTGGGAATTGAACTCAGGACCTCTGGAAGATCAGTTAGTGTTCTTAACCTCTGAGCCATCTCTCCAGCCCCCTCATTCATATTCTTAATGCAGCTCTTTTCCAGGCTTTGAAGAGAAGCCTCTCCCTCACTCAGGTGCTATCCTGTCTAAGACAAGCTCCACAAATTATGTTGTTTCTGACTCATGCTGTCCCACCCCCAGGCCCTGGATCCCTACTAAACTCCACTGGAAGGAATCCTGTCTGCCTCCTTTGCTGACTGACTCGACCTGTCCACCTTTTATGACAGTCACATCTTTTCACGTTTTGACCTGACTCCGGGTCTATGAAGAGCTCTAATAGGCCGGAGCATGGCAATCACGACTCTGGCAGTCCTTGTCCTTCCCCCCTCCTTCCTAAACCATAGATTACATTTCTAAAGCTAGCCACCAAGGTCTGTTCCCTTATAGACTGGCCACTTCCTCTTCCTGAGGCTGACCACCAAGGTTCAGCTATCAAAATATTGAAGTCCAGCAATCAGAAGCCCCCGCATTAACATGTCCAATCAAAACAAACCAACTCATTCTAACGCAGGGTTTCCCCTTTCCCTTTATCAATGGCCACTTGCCTGTGGGCCCTGTCTATCTCCTCTCTACCCAGAGGCAGTCCTTGGTGTCCTGCCCCCCCCCAACAAATACCCTTCCCCTTCTCCTTCATCCTCTATCTCCTGTCTTTGTCTCTTATTCCCTGCCCTTGGTCCCTCTGGGGCAAAGAAATCTCCTTCGTGCTAAGAACTAGGTCTTGGTGTGGCCTGTGCCAACTCCGGTCCTTGCAGTATATACTTTGATTTTTACAAAGGCCATATTGTGGTACCAGTGTGAGGATTTGCCAGTGTTAATCTGGTGATGCCAGACCTTCCTCGGCTTCATTACTTGACTGAAGTAGCTTCCTTCAGAGCTGTGAGCCAGTCATGAGAGCCTGTGTGGGCCACAGGAATGTGAGCCGAAGTCCCACCTCCACTTCCTGTCTGAAGGCCAGCCTCCCCTGTCTACCTTCTGCTGTTCCCTCTGAGGTCACACAGCAAAGCATGACCCTGCACTCTGACCAAGAGTCTGCCGTTCCCTCTGGTAATCAATCTGCGTCCCACTGATTTCCACATTTAGCTACGGGTAGTGTCAACAACATTTGGTTCAAGTTGCTTTTCAACCAGGGTTTAGAAGAACGTCAAGCTAGTTGAAAAACTAAGCAGGAGACATTGCATGGCAGGAAAGTCAGGGACTCACTTTAAAAAACAGAACAGAAGTCCAACTGTGGCAGCACATGCCTTTAATCCCAGCACTTGGGAGACGGAGGCAGTCGCTTAGAGACCAGCCTGGTCTACAAAGTGAGTTCCAGGACAGCCAGGACTGTTACACAGAGAAACCCTGCCATGAAAAAAACATTTTTAAAAAAAGTAAACAGTTTGAGTGCTTGTCGGTTAGAAACGGCTTATCCTCGGTGTGTTAAGGAAAAGGTTCACACAGGCAAATGTGAAGTTCCAACCTCAAGTCTAACACTAGCAAGTTGAGTGTCCATGGTCTTTCATCTCACATTTAGATCTCAATTGTTGTCATTCAAAATTAGGAGTTAAAAGCTAGCTGTGCATGCACACCTTTAATCCCAGCACTTGGAGGTCAGAGGCAGGCAAATCTCTGTGAGTCCAAGGCCAGCCATAGCTGCACAGGCCTTGCTTCTCCCGCTTCTGGCCCAAAAGAGAAAAAGGGAATTGGGGTAGCTGCCACCCTAGACATTTTTTCCACCTCTATCCTGTTTTCCTCTTAGCATTCGAAATATGAGACATTTTAAAGCTTCAGAGTGCAGATTGCTTTACAAGAGGATAAAGCACTTTTCATTTATTGCTATACAAAACAGCGAGAGGTTTCTATTACAGCTCCATTAGGAAACGAGTGCTTAGAGCTTGCTCTCAATGTCACCTGTGAGAATAAGGTCTACAAACACGCCAGGAGTTAGGTGTGTCTCCAGAGTTTTTATCCTTATCCTTGCTGTTCCCTGTGCTCCAAACACTTTGCACTCTGCTTTTAATTGTGTGTGTGTGTGTGTGTGTGTGTGTGTGTGTGTGTGTGTACTAGAAAAGAGCCTCCGAGGCCCTGGAACTGGAGTTACAGACAGTTCTGCGTCATTTAGATGCCGGAAACAGAACCTAGGTACTGCAAGAGCAGCCAGTGAGCTGAGCCATCTCCCAAATCCCAAAAGCCCAGCTTCTTAAGCTGTGGGTCATGACCATGTATGGGACAATGTAACTCATGTGGTGATCAGGAAAACTTTGACAACAGTAAAACTAATTGAAATAAAATTCATAATGAATCTGAGGCTTATTGGCAGTGCTTGTCCGTGCTGCATCAAGACTTCCCCATAGTCTTGATTTGAAGCACACACCATGCATACTTCGTGCTCAGTGGATGAGGCAGCACACCACAAAACACCCCCAAACCCTGCCTGACACACCTTGGCTCAGAATGCACACTATTGCACGCTAAAATTGCAAGGCTTTTTTACAAGATGTTCGTAGCTGTTTCCCCTTATAGGAACAGAGTAGTTTGAAAACAAAGTTGTTCCTTACCATGTTAATATTAAATTAATATACTTTGGAGTGTTTTGTGTTGTAATGTTTGGCTTTAAAAAATTGCTACTTGAGTTGCTGGAGTATCATTTAAAAATTGTTCAGTGAACTTGGGTTTGGGATTAGGATGAAATTCCTAACAGTTTCTGAGATTGCTGAAACATACTTCTGTTACTGTGTATGACAACTTATGTGAAAAGGCATTCTCATCACTGTCAACTATAAAGTTGATCAGCTCTGAAAAATGTCCAATATCCTCTACCTGCAGCATCAAATATTCACACAAAATATATTTCTTTTTGGAGACAGGACTGTGTTGGGGAAGTCCTGTTATTTGCCTGTTATTTGTCAATAAAGTACTGTTGAGCCAATAGGAATCTAGATGGGAGGGACTAGGAGTCCAGGAGGATTCTGGGAAGGAGAAACACAAGAGAGTTCAAGATGTAACGCCATGGGGTAGGAGCCCGGAACTATTCTCCAGTAAGAGACATACTTAGATTAACAATTATGGGGTAATTACTTAAGTCAGAGCTAGCCAGTAAGAGACAAGCAAGGCCAACAGCTTCATAATTAATACAGCGTCTTGTGTGTTTATTTGGGGACTACAATGCGGCAGAGCTCAGGTGGCTGGCGGGGAATAAACCAAAGCGGCTAGCAAGGAAAAAGCTTCTCTTTACAGGACTGGCTTTAAACTCACTATGTATCAGATAGCCTTGAACATCTGACTCTCCTCTAGTACTGGTTCCCTGGTAATGTGCTGGGTCCTTGCATGGCGTGTGTGCACACATGGGCACGTGTGCATACACACACACACACACACACACACACACACGAATTGATACTTTATCGTTTATTGCGGTAAACATTTTATTTGTATGCCTATTTTATATAACTATATTCCTGAGGTCATGTAAAACTTTCCCAGGTGAAAATGGGCTGTGAGTAGAAAGAAGTTGAAGAAGCCCTACTTTAGGC